GCTGTCCAACTACATGGCAGGACGATGACTGAGGTAAGGAAGCTTTTACTCGTTTCGATTGGTCTGCTGTTCTGTCGTTATGCTTGAATTTGTTTCCATTTTCAAGGAGCGTATCGCGTTTGTTTGATGTTGCTTGAATGAGTGCCCTAAAAGTAATCAACCACTTCGTAATAATCCTCAGGACTGCAAGGACTTTGCATCAATCGTATACGATCGTCAGCTATCATCAATTATCATTTTATTTCATGAGAAATGTATTTTTATCCCTGTGATAATTATGTACCTCCACGACACTCTTCCTCTACTAGGCTCTAGTATGATGTCAAATACAATGGGATCCACAAACGCAGTGCCAGTGTACTAGTAGTAGTAGGAGGAGGATTTCTTGTATGCCGATGACAAGAAAAAGCTTCTCAAGCTAATACATGTACTCGTATTCCATGAAGTAACCATTTGATGTCACAAACATGACATTGTGTCAGTGAAACTGCCTCGTGACAACAAATCATTGCATTTCCATCTTGGGGAAGACTGACTGATGGCAACGCTGTACAGATTGTTCAAATCATCTCATTTCAATTTAGTTACAGTGAAGTGAAACACTGTGTACACTACATGTATGGTGGTGTGTCTGTGCGTCTTGAGTGTGCACAAACGACCTTATTCCTCGTATTACTAATAGATTATTGTCCCCACCGTCACCTGTTCACAGGTCTTTGCGTGGATGGATTTTCATTGAGCATCACATTCGTTGAGAACTTGGTAGTTGTGTGCTCCCATGCATCATTACGGTAATAAGCGTATCCTTGTGCTATCTATTTGTTGCAGGTGTGCTGATCTTCAGGAGCTTGCGGAACTGAGTGCTGCTGAACATTTGCATGGCCATGAGCAATGGTGAAGCTTGCTATTGTACTCTCAGCATGTGCTAGTATTATGCTGACTACTCCACTATGTTACTCTCTTACACTACTACATGTATGTAAATGTGCGTGCATCCGCCCACGTATGCATTCGTTTCGTATAATTATTTGTTATCCCTCTTGACTTTACGTGTAAATAGGTGGACGTTTGCATGGCTGTTGGAGTTGCGTGTGTATTGTGTCTCTACTCTTTTCTTGGTGTTTTCTTGGCGTTGTATAAGTTTGTGTGTGTGTGTGTGCGCGCGCACAATAATTTGAAAAAAAATCACGGTTCGTGTGAGACTCGGCTGGAAGCCGGGCTTTCCGCATTCCGCATAATTTGAAAAGAAATAATTAATCCTTGGCTCTCCATTATTCTCTTTCAATTCTTGGTTTTTTTCTAGGTATTTTCTTGGCGTTGTGTGGGTGTGTGCATGTGTGTGTGCGTGCACAATACTTTGGCAACACTACATGATTGAGGTATTGTATTTTGCAGCGTCTGCGAAGAGACCACTTGATTTGAGGATGGTGTTTGTAGGGTTTTTCATGTAATGAAGTGGCTGCAGTGGCGCCTCAATACTTATTTTTTATCTTGAGAAGTGAATGATGTAAAGGATTAAAGGGAGAGGCCGTTTTCTGGTTAATATTCACTGCTTACAGCAGATCCTATGTCTAATTTCGAACTCTGGATAGGGGATGCCTAATTGGCTGGACTTTATACAGGGAGTGTTGTCCACATAAAGACTCTTTATACAGTCTGTATCGGCTATAGCGCACCCTTTTGATTTCCGTGATTTTATCACTATAACCGATGCATCACTATATGCGATACGATCGATTTTTTTCTTTTTTCGATATCAACACATGAAAGGCAAGGAAATACTTCCAACATGGCGTTTTGACAAATGAGCATGCTGCATAGTTGACAGTGCCCGCATTTCCATAAAAAAATCCTGTTATGTACATGTACATGTATCACTATAAAAATAAGCAACGTGAAGAAAGTAAAAATAGGGCCTTTGACATTATTGCTACATGTATTTTAAAATCATCACTATAGCCGATAATAATATAGTGTGTTATGCATGTTTTGATTCTTTGTTGCCATCATAATATCCGATATATCATTACATCCGATAATATTGGTTATAGTGATATTTGTACTGGATAAAATACGTTTTGCTTTTGATATTTCGTACCAATATCACTGTAGCCGATATATTCTTATATCCGGTCACTCTATAGCCGATACAGACTGTAGTTGATTTCAAAGTTTGGACTCCGTACAGTTGATTTTGGACCAATGGACTCTATATAGGGGTGAAGCCAATTGGCTGGACTCTATACAGGGAGTGATGTCCATCTAAACTTTGAGCTCACAGTTGATTCCAAGTTTGGACTCTGTACAGTGGATTTTGGACCAATGGACTCTATATAGGGGTTGGACATCATATAGGGGCTGGACGCTCTACTGAGTCCAACATATACACTGTCAGTCTACTGGAGAACTTCAGCACAAGTTGACAAGTGAGTTGAACAGACTAAATACGTACCTTGGAAGCATTGGTCTCATCTTTTTTTTAAACCAACATTTCACACTCACTTTGCACACTTTCTCCCGCATCCATAACTATGTTACTAGTACATACACAAATAGGAGGTCCCCCAGATAGGCGTTAGCCTTTGGGTAATCCTGAAATAAAGATTATTATATTATATTATCTTGAATGCCCAGAAAACGAAGTTCATGGTGCTTCGGAAGAAGGCTCTGCCTCTTCCACCGGATCTTACCATTGCATGCGGTGGTGTCGATATTCGACCTTCTGCCACAGCGCGTTATCTTGGCCTCATTATTGACCAACACCTCACCTTTGAGGATCAAGTCAACCATGTATGTACATCTGTTTATAAGAAGATAGGAGCATTCCGCCGCTGCCGCCGTACAGTAGACCACACAACTAAGCGAATATTTTATTTATCCCTCATCCAATCCACTATTGAATACGCCAGCAACTCGTATGCTCACTGTCTTACACCATCTTTATACTCTCGCCTTGTTACTTTAAGTCATATCAGCATGAAACAGGTTTTTGGTCTCCCTCGCCGTACCCCGACTGTCTTTGTTTTGCGGCACGCTAAGTTATACTCCCTCGAATCTCGTCTCAACTTGAGGCTTTTTATTTTTGTGTTCCGCTGTATTCATCAGCTTACAAGTCCTCTTCTTTCCTCAATGTTCACCCTCCAGTCGGCTGCTACTTGCACCGAGAGGCGCACTAGAGGGCAATCATTCTCTTCACTTTCTTTGCCCGCTGCTACCACTAGATATGGCATGTTCTCCATTTCTTTCCTTGGCGCTGATAGGTGGAATTCTCTGCCTGTCTCGTGTCGTCAGGTTGAGCATCTATCCGTTTTTGTTTCGCTTTGTAAAGAGCACTTAGGGTTCCCTGTAACAAGACGGCAACGTCTGTAGGGCCTTCCCTATCAAAATAATAAATTCTACTACTACTACTACTGGTCACCGTGCCTGCAGGGTACAACTTACTACCTGTTTGACCTTTTTTGGGTGCAGTTCAGACACTCGAGTTTTTTATTTTTTTTATTGAAAAACCACAAACCTTCAGACATGTGAATGTGCACATGATATACAGTGTACATACGTATGTATCGAGAAGGCAGCACGGAAACGGCAGTGGTGGTGAGGCCTGGGCAGCTCGTCCGACCATGGGTCTCGGAGTCAACACTGGGCAGACGCACCGGGGGGGGGGGGGGGGGGGGGTAGCTTATGAGATAAGGCCATGATCATAGTATGTAATGCATATGCAGAAGTAATAATGATGTTAATCTTAAAAACAATAGTGCGGTGGACCTGCGCAGAGGAAAGGCATCATGGACATGATCAGAGTTGAACTCGAGTTGAACCTTGGTGTGAAAGTTGTCGCCTGCTGGCGTGGTGACCAGGTGATTTGGGCAGTGGGCACCCAGGAGCACGTGACCGCTTGTTCAAATCGGCCAACTGACCGGCGTCGTCATCTTTCCCTGCATAACGTCTGCATGACTGTATGGTTCCCGCGCAGAAAATAAACATCGGGCCAACAGGGTCTGGCGCACGGACTGACCCGGCCGGGCCTGTAGCTGTACGTAGCTGGGCCTGGGCCCTGGGCCAAGCTTGCAAGGTAGCTGTACAGATTTCGATGATGTCATTACTGCGCAAACCCTGGGCGCAGTGCAACTACTAGTACTCTCTCTCAGTCTCTGTCTGTACAGTCGAAGTGTACTGTAGTGTGTTCGCTGATATCCGGCCTTTAAAGGGGAAGTATACCCTAAAATCAAATCTTCACCGGTTGTAGTCTTCGGGGTGCTGAGTCGAATGGTCTTGGTCCGAGGAAGCTGAGATGCTCCCTTCCTCCTTTATTCCCAATCGAACTCGCGCACTTCCACTGAAACTGGGTGACTGCGCCCTACTAGATGGGGATTTGTACACCAGTCACCTGGTCACCGTGCCTGCAGTGCAGGGTACAACTTACTAGCCTGTTTGACCTTTTTTGGGTTCAGTCCTGTCACTCGAATTGAACTCGAGTTGAACCTTGGTGTGAAAGTTGTCGCCTGCTGGCGCGGTGACCAGGTGATTTGGGCACCCAGGAGCACGTGACCGCTTGTTCAACCATGTTCGATTGGGAATAAAGGAGGAACGCTGCATCGCAGCCTTTTCGGACCAAAACCAGTCAGCACCCAGAAGACTACAACTGGTGAAAATTTGATTTTAGGGTATACTTCCCCTTTAACTAACTTACTTGTAAAGTCCACTATGCTCCCGAATAAGTTGAGGGTCAAAGGTCGAAAGGTCAAATTAACTTTCGACCTACCGAAAGCAGTATTTCCCCAAAAGACGAAGTACGTCGGTAGTCCATGTATGCCAGGGCCTCGCGACTAGCCATAGCCAGCGCTCAGCCGCGATGGGAGCACAAGAACCCGGCGGGTGAGTCACTACACGGCGTGGGTTGCGCGTCCTTGGCTTGAGCTTCCTCGGCCGGCACGGCAACTGCGTAGGAAGGTTTGGTGCACCAGTGGGATGTATGCTAGATAAGCTACTTCGTTCTGTTCAGTATGAAAATAATTTGATCTCGAAGATAATCCAGTCTTCAAGTCCTTACACGAATACGTCAATTTTCTGGATTGCATGGATCGTGTGAGCTGTTATCAGCGAAAACGCCAGCATGAAGGCTTCCAGGCTGCTCGTATGTACTCAATCGTCTTGTGCTTGCCTTCTCTGTTGCCCACCTGTCTTGTATTCTGTAGTTCACCTTTCTTGATCATTTTTATTCCTGGTCGTACAAACCTGACATCTTTACAATCGCGCATATGCTTAGCCCGAGACCCTCTCTGTCTGTCTCTCTATTCTCCCTGTCTATATTCCTCTGCCTCTCTCCGTCTGTCCGTCCGTCCGCCCACCCTCCCGCACGTTCACTCTCTATCTCAGTCCCTGTCTCTGTCTCTGTCTCTCTGTCTCTCTGTCTCTCTGTCTCTCTGTCTCTCTGTCTCTCTGTCCCTCTGTCCCTCTGTCTCTCTGCCCCTCTGTCCCTCTGTCCCTGTGTTCCTCTGTCCCTCTGTCCCTCTGTCCCTCTATCCCTCTGTCCCTCTGTCCCTCTGTCCCTCTGTCCCTCTGTCCCTCTGTCCCTCTGTCCCTCTGTCCCTCTGTCTCACTGTCTCTCTGTCCCTCTGTCCCTCTGTCCCTCTGTCTCTGTGTCTCTGTATCTCTCTGTGTATCTCTCTCTGTGTGTCTCTCTGTGTGTCTGTGTGTGTGTCTCTCTCTGTGTGTCTCTGTGTGTGCCTCTCTATCTGTGTGTGTGTGTGTGTGTGTGTGTGCGTGTGTGTGTGTGTGTGTGTGTGTGTCTCTCTCTCTCACTCTCTCTCTCTCTCTCTCTCTCTCTCTTTCTCTCTCTTGCTCTCTCTTTTTCTCTCTCTCTATGGGCTATGAGCATCAAATGCGTAGTACCACTATCGAAGAGTATCGAGTACTCTGCAGTCTCGCCGGAGCAGTTTTTGATTGGTCCCGAATTATTGTGGCCTTTCATACTTTGTGTATCCATTATGGTGGATATTAGTATACATTCCCTGCAGAGTAGTAAACACATGTTGGTGACCAAAGGGTTAGCTCGGTGATAACCTGACGAACCGGACCGGTTCCGGCGGGCCTGCGCTACAAGCCCTGTGATCACATTTTCTGACTGCTTATTATCTTGTTACGGTCGTGGATAGTTGCTTCATAACTAGTTTCCTGGTGTTTTCTTCTTCTATTTATATATTATATAATTATGTCTAAATGTTAAGAAGCGATTGGTGCGACTTCGGCGATACTGGGGGAATTGTGTGTCGCTCCCTACAAGGGAGCTCGTTGTTTTCCTGCTGAATTGAATTCTCACTTGACTGACTCACCACTGCCAACCAGAGCACGCGTGAAGTCCATCGAACCGTCCACCTGCAAACCTGCAAGAAAGCACCACTCCTTGCTCAATACACAGTGTTTCTGGGAATTCATGCCTCATCAGTTGAGCTTGACTAGGCTGAGGAAGATTGTGGAGATTGTGGAGATTCTTGCAGGTTTGCCGAGTGCACGGTTCGATGGACTTCTCGTGTGCTCTGGATGGCAGTCGTGAGTCAGTCAAGTGAGAATTCAAGTCGGCAGGAAAACCACGAGCTCCCTTGTAGGGAAGCTCCCTTGTAGGGAGCAACATACAATTCCCCAATATATCTAAAGGAATTTTTTCAAGGTTCGTATGAGACTCGGCTAGAGGTCGAGTGTTCCGCATCCGTAGGAAACAATGACTTTATGGTCATCTTGATTTGTGTCTCTATTTCTGCATCTGTTCTTTCCCTTGGTGTGATTACAGGTGATTTGTTTGGTTATGACATCTATGGCGGTGGCTTATTGTGGTCAGTGCACCTGGCATTGTCAGTGTGTTAATCAAGTTTTCAAGTTTGTAAAGGAGAAATCTTTCGGAGGCCATTAGACGATGGCTGCAAGCCTCGCATTCAGTTTCTCCATGAAAATGATGAAATCCAACTCTATGCGTCACGTGATATGGGCTATTTTGGTTTTGAACACATGCCAGGATCACTTTCTGCAAGGATTTTGGCACATGAGAATGACGTGAAGCTTGATTGTAAAAGCTGGTGTAACCGGAAAAAACGAAATTCACGTTCCGCCTTGTAACTTCCTTTCTCGTGCTACTTCATGCGTATGAGATATTTGCCCCTTGTCGGTCATTGGTTGTGAGACTTACCACCTCACCCTCGCAGTTAGGAGCTGCATCTGCCACCCTGGTATCACAGGCATGGTGGTGGCCTGGCACATGCGAAACTTCTTAAGCTGGTTGTGTTTCTCAATGCAATTGTATAGCCGGTGGTAACGACGCTTTTTTTATTTCTATGCATGCATATGCGCGCATGAAAACGGTCAATGCGAAAGGTATGAATCAGGGAGTGGTAAAATACCGGTATTTTTCTACTCCCTGGCCCGAATATTATTATGAACATGTGACCATGTACATATATGTATGTGTGAGCCTATCTTTGGAAATAGAAAAATTGTGGGAAATAAAATAAAAAAAATCACTCGCTCGCACCGATTTTCACAGGCTCATGACCTGAGAATCAACTTAAAATTTAATGTATTATGTGTTTCCTCAATGTGTAGCGATACCAGACTTATGCAAAGCACCGCTTCCGACTCCTAAGCATGGCCACTACGGGCCAACTGTACTTCGGCACGTGGATGCAACTAATGTCTTGAAATGCAACGTTGGCTACATGCCCGTTGGCAACACGTCGCTAACATGCTTGCCGACTGGAACCTGGATGCATCATAGTCCATCCTGTGTGTGTAAGTTTAGACGGGAGACTGAATTTCCGGCATTGCTACAAACAAAATCTAAGTGAGCATGGACGTGAACGGTTTCTGCTATTATTAGGCCAATAAGGCCTGTGGAAAATCCATAAATACAAATCAGGTGACTGGCCGTACCACCCTAAAAATACCTTCCGAAGCCCCGTATGTGTTTAAAAGATCTCTCTGCTCTCCGGCACTAAGGGCTATCCCAGTCATGACCAAAGTGTACTCTATTGTGTTTACTGGGAGTTGTAATTTTTACACTCACTCCTTCGCTGTGATCTTTGCCGTTAGTCACGCGCAAGGAGCAGCGCTGTGTGCTATGCTGCCATTGCTGGTGATGCTGGTGTGCTCATTTCTGGACCTAAGAATAATTATCTGAAATTTGCCCGTGGTGTTTTGGGATGTCTGTTCGTGGGGATGAATAAAGAATACTTTGTCTTTTGAAAGAAAGGGTTTGCTCCCCACACTTTTGTCTTTTGAGTTTATAAATTTACATGCGCTATGCATCCATCCATGCAAGCTCACATGCCCACCCAAGAAAACACGTCTCACGAGGTAACAGACGTTTTCGTTCCCTTTCCCTCAAGAATCTACCGCGAGTGTGGCTGAATTGGCAGGAGACTAGAAAAGGGCTGCCACGCGTTCCCAATTTTCGGAATCGCTCGGATTTTTTACAGGTCGGTCCAACAGACCGACCGAAAACAATATTCACTTGCTCACTAGGATTTTTTAATTATCTTTTTACTGAAACAACACACATTCAGACATGTGAGTATACAGTGTAAATGCATATTTTTTTTTTTTTTTTTTTACTAAGGCCACAGCTTCCAATCATGACATGCAAAGCAGCGGTGCAGCATCGCAGGTAGGAATCGATATGTATAGGGAAGGCAGCACAGAAACGGCATGCAGCGGTGGTGAGGCCTGGGCAGCTCGGACTGTTCGTGAAAGTGCCCTAACCCGTTGTTTCAGGCTCTTTGAATCCTAAAACTCCTTTGGCATTTTAGTAAAAAGGGAGCGATTCCTCCTTACTCCTCGGCCCCTCGCCGGTGAACACGCACACACGGACCCCTTTCAGATTTCTTCCAACAGAAAAGTGGCAGACCTGCTATAAGGACAAGAACATTGAAGTAATGAGAAAAATCAATTCTTCTCAAATTAATAATAAAATCTCCATTCATTTAGTTTCTCAAGGCAAGCGTTATCTGTTTTATAAGACGGACGAGGTGATTGAGATTCCTTTTTACCGTGTGCGGTGCAATGAACAATGAAAACTTTGTTTCAGTCTCGAAGAATGGATAAATAGTGCAGGAGAGGAGAATGGGAAATATGATCAGAAAATGTTCTCGTTAATTCCAAGAAACCTTGCCTTGATTGTGTGTGTGTGTGTGTGTGTGTGTGTTTGTGTGTGTGTGTGTGTGTGCGCGTGCGTGCGTGCGTGCGTGTGTGTGTATGTGGACGTGTCTGTGGTTTGAAATTCAGTGAATCCTGACTATTGCCAGCCTAGAACATTCCACTTTGGATCTCTGATCCCCCCAGGACATCCCCAGCCTCTGGGTAGTGCTACATACCAAATGAAGTGTAGCGATAACTACTACAGAACTGCAAACCTGAGCATTGTGATTAACTGTTTGATTCACAACGAGACAATTGGAAAATTGGTGGCTGCCTCTACTCCATGTGAAGGTAAGTGTGTGTGTGTGTGTGTTTGTGTGTGTGTGTGTGTTTGTGTGTGTGTTTGTGTGTGTGTGTGTGTGTTTGTGTGTATGTGTGTGTGTGTGTTTGTTTGTCGTTATTTGGAACATTACCTCAAGCAGAGTCTTGGCAATGAAAGCTTGCAGGGCGTTGATAATCCCCTAGTCGAAGGTGTAGAACTTAGAACTGATGTTCCCAAAAGATGTGATTGCGCCATATGTATCGTGTACCGTTCCTTATCAGGCAATTCACCATGACGACAGGCAAATCTATGTCCACCGGAGCGTTGCTATGGTATTTTACCTGTAAAAGAAAAATGTGAACAATCTTGGCAGAAAAGTGCAAGCGAGCTGATGGCCGAAGGCAGGATTATCGTGGCGTGAATGAGTACATGTGCTACAGTGCACCAAAAAATCTCCAAACAAGACTTGATTAGTTGCACAGCTCTTTTCACCTTGCTATTTTGTGCATGTTGTGCAGAGTTGCCCTGCATGGCTTGACTTGTGTTGCAATGGTTGCCTTGCCTCAGTGTGTTGCAATGGTGGCCTTGCCTTGTGTTGTGGTGTTTGCCTTGCCTCAGTGTGTGGCAATGGTTGCTTTGCCTTGTGTTGTAGTGTTTGCCTTGCCTATAATGATGGGGGGAGTGTGTTCTCCAATCATCCGCAAAAGATGTTCTTCGTTGTGAGAGATGCTCAAGACAGCGTTGCAATATGATGAATTCGCTGTTGAGTCACAAGGACACCATCATTATTTTCATTTTCGCCTATTCAAATTTTGGATCAGCTTAGTGAGCAATTTATGAGCTCAGGATGTATGGCATGATAGCATGAAGAAGATTTTGGAAGATAGAGATACAGTTCCTTAGTGTCGTCTTTGAACAAGCTGTAATGTAATTGAGTACATGAACTTAATAGGGGGGGGGGGGGGAGATATGCATGTGCAGAGAAACTATGTGAACCACGCAAATTTTCTCGTTTGTTCAGGCCGAAAATTAGAATTTTGAAAAACCCATGGCAACTAGTGGGGAAAGCCATCCCAAAGTGCAAACATGCCTGTCATCGAGTGCAGCCGTGTGAATCCACACATTCACGTTTCTTGTGAAACACTCGCCGTGAATCGCCTATAACTCATGACACGTTGACTTTTGAAGTTTTCTGATCAGCCCAGTTTCTCAGCATTTGTATTTTGTTTTCACTTTTCCATTACAAACCAAACGGACATTCATGCCCAATG